AGGATTGATTACACGTGTTACACGATGCGCTAAAGACAGCAGCAATTCTAACCTTTCTGTTCAGAAATGTGCTGTTTTGGGGCAACACTGAGCAGATAATCACGATACCCACAAGAAAGGCGTGGCTGGTTGGGTTGGTTTTTTACTCTCGTGTTATGTAAACAGTGGGGTTTTGGAGTCTGCAGATCCCCTCTAAATTCAAAAGGAAATCCCTGCAAAAGGAGGGGGTCAGTGTGGTCAATTGTAAAATGGCAGCTCACCTGGCAGCATTTCAGGAGCCCCATGGGTGCAGAATGGAATGAAGCAGCATACTGGGAGATGTTCTCTATGGCCATAGGTGTTACGTACTATTCAAGACAATCAGTTACTAGAGCAGGTCTTCTGGCTTAAAGGATTTGAGTTATATTGATATTTGTCGGTTACTATGACTTCTTTTTTTTTTTTTTTTTTCCCCCCCTTCAATTGCATCATACCCTTAAAAAAATGGTGGTAAGTGAGAGATCTGCATGCTTTGGAGTTTGTTTAATCTCCGCTTCAGTCTATACAATGCACAAGTCATAATGTTAACACTTTTTCTTAAAACTTCTTCATTCACGTTCACAACTAATTTGGATCTGAGTTTGCTGTTTTTAATCTTTATTTAGTCTAATTTTGTACTTATTTTTCTGTTGTTCTGTTGCCCCCTGATTTCGCTAAGGTTTCGGTCTTTGTCTGTACTGTACTGGGGATGCTTTTCCAGCAGTTAAATGGCTGACGAGGATAGTAACACACAGAGAGATTTTCCTCGGTCTTATTTTTATCTCCGTTCAGGTTATAGATGGGGAAAGGGACGAGTGGTGGTGATCCACCAGATAATCTTTAGTATTCTCGTAGGCATTTTTGTTGGATCTTTGGTAGGAAAACACCCGATGGCAGCCTTTATAAATGTGACACTTCTTTTTTTTTTTTTTCTTTTTTTTTAAAAAACACACAAACCTACTTAGGTGAAATAGGCATCTGAATATTTTCACAGAGAAAGAAAAATGGTTATTTTATAGCGAGAGAGAGCTTGTATCTTAACGGTGCAGTTCGATACTTCTGAAGTCCAGCCAAACAAACTCTCAAAGACGTCGATGATGCTTGTTAGAAAGCTGAGATACCCGAGTCTTTAAGCAGGACGGCATCGGTAGCAGCCCTGATCCAGGGGTCGGGGAAACCAGGGGCTCGCGGTCTGTCCGAGGCTCTTCCCAGCCAGCGTGCAGGGTGCAGAGCGCAGCCTGCTTGAAGATCTTTTGTGAATCGAAAGATGCTTGTGGAAGGAAGTCCTAGATTTACTCTACTGTGCTTTGTGTTCCAGTACCTGATGTGTCTCTGTATATCTCCACTGTATATACAACAGCACATTGATGTCTGGTTGTCCTTACTAGTCCTAGTTCTCTCTGTACCTTGTCCGATAGTGTACTGTTGCTGGTAGTGGACTTCTGTGGACACTGGTGTGTCGCTAGTATGTTATTTTGGCTGTAAAGCTCTTGGTTTGTGGTTAGTTCTTTATTTTTTTGAAATATTTTTTTGTTCCGGTCACTGTCTGTGCTAGCGGTGGCTTTGCCTATCCGTTGCCTTGAAGGTACAGGTGGAGTAATGTCCCCTTTGACCGACATTACTCCTAGCGTGTGCTCATGCGGATGCCTACACTGTTAAGACTGTAATTTCCATAACTGCTTCATGTGCACTAAGCACCCTTGTGGAATCCTGCTGAGAGTTTCTTAAAGACTTCAGTGAAAAATCCCTCAAGCACGAGGTGGGAACGGCAACTGTTGAGTGCCAAAAACAGCAGGTCCTGAATTGGTCCCGCCAAAATACTTCTGCAGGAGCGTTAACTTTCCAGCTTTATTTTTGTGCTACTGTTTATATGCGCTTCTGTCGTCTGTACTGCAGCTTAGGAGCAAAATAAGGTGTCATCATCCAAAAAAACGTTCAATTGGTCATGAAAGAGCTAATGCGAAACATTACTCATTGGCAGATTTTTTTTCCAATTCGTAAAAGAGAATAGTTTTGCCGAGAGACACAGGCAGAACAATGCTGTCAGTCTTCTGTAGCTGAAGTCTGTTGTGTCTGGAGGTATTGAACACCCCCAGCCTTCCCTGGTGTGTGGAGCCCTGTGCTCTGTCGGGACGCACGCCCAGTGCTGCTGCGGCCCGAGGACTACGCTTGGGTACTTGAATCAAGTGTTGCACCTTCAGCCTCCTCCTAACCTGGTCCGTTCTAATTAGGCACTGAGAAAAATGGAGTATGTCAAGGTTGTATCATCCATGGGGGAAGATGAGCGTTCGGTGTATATACCCTGTGGTGTATATACCAGTCATTACCCACCAGCAGTTGAAGAATGGCTTAAAAAAAAAATAAAATTAAATCAATGCAAGAAAACAACCAGCAGGATTTTACAACTGAAACGTTGGTTTGTCTTCTCATCTATTTTTTATGAGATTGAACCACTGGAACTTGGGGACAAGATAAGTCTGACCATATTGCAACAATCTGTCCGCTACAGTTGCAGTTCTTCATGACAAGCATTCCAAGTGTTAACTAAAACCATTGAAGCAACATACCTGCCATTAAAACCTGAACCCAGAAAAATAACTCCATGAATCTTTGCACTCCCGAGTGGAATGGCCTTTGATGCTGTAGATAGATCGGTTTGCTGCTCGCAGCTCCACCGGTGCGCGGGGCACAGGCTGACTCTCTTTTTCTTTCCTTTCCTTGTCTTTCCCTGGATTGCATCGGGATTCTCGCTGCAGATGATGAACCAGCTGGGCCAATGTAAGTGCATTTTAAGAAGAAAATGCTTAATCTGAGGGTTTCTGGGAGTTCACAGTGCCTAGGATTGGTATCCCCGGTGACATCACTACTGGTAATGGGCCCTTTGGTTTGCTGTTTGTTAGTGCTGGAGTAAAGAAGAGTGATAGCCGCAGGGTCCTTGCTAGGAAAACACATATTGCTGTAGGAGTTAGAAACAAATGCTTGTGCTGAAGCGACACGTGCTCTCCCTGGCTGCCTGGTGTAGCCGATTAGATACACTTTTTAAGAATATCATAAGGAAAAAAAAAAAAAGCTGCTTCAGTTGGAAACAGGAGGCCTAAACCGAGGAGGCAAAGTGACAGCTGTGGGAGGTGAGTTGCCCTGGGCAAGCAGGTGGCAGGATACAAAGCCTGGGAGTTGTTGCCTTTTAGATGCTTAAGAGGAGGAAGGATGAAAAGCTGTTCAGCTTATGATGTACAAAGACATTTTTTTCTTATGCTCGTGATTGATTTTGTTGCCTTTTTGATTGTTTCTTTCTCCAGGAAAACCAATTCTACAAACAATCATAAAGATAAAAACTTACGCCAGAGAAACACAAATTAAAAATGCTCATCATGTAAGTATGACTCGCACACATCTCCCAAACGGTCAGGCTAAAGCCCTCCTTGTCCTGTCGTGGTCGGGGTGCGCAAACAGAACCCCTTCCCCGCACTAAGAAGTGACCAGCTGCTCAGAGGCCAGCACTGGCCTTCCTGCCACGCGTCAGAGGGCGCTGGGCGTTAGCAAAAACGGTTTTTCGTAAAATAAGGAGGTAGTTTAATGAGCCGGTAGCTGTCAAAGGCCTCATAATCACCGCGATTGCGAATTAAAAAACCAAACCCCAAACCCTTCCTCATTCAGCCCTAAATCTGGAAGCTAACCTCGGTTGGGAAGCCTTTATCTTCACGTAGGACGGACGCGGCCACTAAGCGCTATGATTGCGCGCTGTTACGGGACGTGATGTTGCAAACACTGCCGGGCATTGACTAGCACCTTTTCTCGTTTCTTTTTTAGAGCTTTAAGTTTCTGAGAGACTGATGGCAATATGACCTGCTAAATTTAAGGGTTGGAACTCTTGGTTCTAGAACTCCAGTTCTGTCCAATTTATTTTTATTTTTTTTCCTTTTCAAGTGAGCAACAATATGACTGTCTAACGCATGCCTTATTTAGCCTCTCCTGTAAGGATGACCTAGCCAGATAAATTTTAATAATGCTTCAGTGTAGAAGGTGTAAACTACTTTGGGCTTGATGTGCTGTGAATGTTGCTTTTTTTTCTTTTTTTTCCTTAACCTATTTAAACATTAGCAGTAGTAAGTCGGTTCACGCATGCGCCATTTTTTACTTCCTGTAGCTGTTAAAATTGGCAACGCTCTAAACGCACTGCTGCCATCTAGTGAGACTTTTGTAAAGTACAGCAAAACTTAAAATATATATACAGTATATATTTATATTTTGGGGGAGGGGGAAAACCAAAAGACAGTAATTGTGTTTCATTTTTAAGCTGCTGATATTCATTCCTTACTGTATGTCTGAAAGATGAGAGAATTATGCTGTTCTGGTACTTAGAGAAGTAATATAAATTGAAATTATCTTAAGGGCTTAACCTATATAGAGAGACTTGGGTGTCCTATAATCAGATTTCAAAAGGTGGAGTGGTTCGACATGGTGGTGGAATGCAGTTGGAAACAAAAACAAACTTCAGTTTATAAATATATATATATGATTGCTTTTTAAGTGATTTTTTTTTTTGTTAACTCATGTAAATTCTCAAATCCTTTTGCACTGATGTGTTCAACATATTCTTGTACATTCAATTCAGGCAAACTTTTATAATTTTCTTTTTTTTTTTGTTTAAATGATGAAATGTTACAGCATGGTGATATTCTATGCAACTAGTTATACTCTTTAGTTTGACACTGTAATTTCTCATGATTTAAAGATTGTAGAAATAGACCTAACAGGGTTCTCATGATGTGCGTAACTGTAGATGCATGAACTTGTGTTCTGTGTATTTGTTGAAGTGCAATGATGTATAAAAAAGTGGATTCACCTGTTTTTAAAAATAAAACACTGACAAAAAAAACCCACATGAGACTTTTTCAAATATTTAATCACCATTAAGCTTGTGCATCCCGGGTGCTGGGTGTCCTGGTGTGCATGTGCCAGCGGTCAGAAGCTGGCACTTCTCAACCTTCTGTCAGTTTTTTCAATTCCCTTTCCACATCCTCCACAAAAGCTGGGAAATTCTGATCCAGGAGGCATAAGCGAATGAAGGGCCCCAGCTCCTGCGCGCGCCACGCCGAGTGCCGATACACAAGGGGGAGCTCAGAGTTCTTTTTCAGCACGGACTGTGAAAACAAAAACCAAAGGGGTTGCACTAACCTTGGACACGAAAGGTAACGTTACACGGCGTTTGTAACAGCGCAGCTACGTCACAGTTCTCCTTTGGTATTTAATAAAGATGCACCTGCCTTGTTATTAATGCTGTTCGAACACTTGCGGTCAGGTATGATTTCTCTGTCCCCTTTTCTCTCCTACCCACCTGCGATTCCAATATAGCTCTTACGCAACTTGGAATTCCTTTGCAATTATTTAAATCAGAAATGCCGGTTCCCTGGGTACCACGGCTCCCTTGGGAGTATCCAGGCCAGGTGAGAGAAGAGGATCGTGGGTGGAGCCTATGTACTGCCACTGGAGTCGTGTAAGGATAGCCACGTACGCCGTTCTAAGCGCCTAATTTAGCACGGTGTCTTTTAGAAGTAAGTGATGTGGCTTTTGAAGAGTTAAAACATCATTTTCCTGGCCACATGACCCCCTCCCCCAGCTCCTCCCCTTGGTGGGGGGTGAGGAGTGTGTCTTCAGTGTCAAACAAGCAGCAGAAGATGTAGAGCACCACATGCTGAGGTCGAGGAGGCCCTGACCACCTCCCAGCATCCACAGGCGATGCTGCTCTCATCCCTTAGAGAAATGCACCAGTCTGAGGGAGCGGTAGGTTACTGGGCAACTCCAGATGCCTACTGGGGCCTCTGAAGCGCTGAGAGGAGCGGCACAGGCAAACCCAAGCCTCTCCATCTGGGCAAGGGAGACGTGCTGTTAACTTCACCAGGCCTGCTCAAGCCTGCAATGGTGCAAGACAATAGCAGATGGGCCAGGCAAGCTGGGCTGGAGCAGAGCTGCGTTTGACGTGGCGGTTTGCGGGGGGGGGGAGAAACGGACCAAAACCCCACTATCTTTGCTAATCTTACTGTTGGTTCACGTTGTACTGTTGCTCTTTTCCTAGTGGAGAAAAATATCTTTAAACATTGCTGAATATCTTTTTTTTTTTTTTAAATAATCTGCAAGAGAATGCTTGTTTGGTCGCTCTTGCTTGTTGCACTCCTGCTGCATTGTACAAGGACAATGAGAAAACTGTTGGGACTCAAACAGCAGGACATGTAATGCAGCTCTCTGCTGAGAGGCGAGTACAGGCGATCTGCTTTCTGAAGGGAGAGGTGTTTAAAAGGCTTTTTTGGGTTTGAGATGACAGGCTTGTGATAGGGAGCATAGGGATTGTCCCTTGTACCACTGGTGTGAGGAAACGTTGACTTGATCATCCTGTGAATATGGAAAAAGGGTAGGACAGACCCACAGAAGCAACACCACAAGAACAGAGGTTGGAACGAGGAGAGTTTGCTCCTTGAGTCATCCGATTCTGCGCTGGCCCAAATTCACAGCAAGCAAGCAACAGTGAACTCCCAGTCACGTTTAACCACGGCTTTACCCTGGACTTCTGTGAAGCTGTCAGTTGAATTAGGGGATCGTTGCAGTGGGTCAGGGATGATGGATGTTTTCAGACTTAAGCTAGGACTGCAGAAGTCATTTCTGCAGAGTCAGAAGAATGACAGAGCCCTTTATTTCGATGTGACCTCTGGGTATTTGTTTGCTCTCAGTGTATGGTTTGTTCTTATGCAAATGGAGTAATTACACCATGAAAGACATGGTTTTGTGGCTTATTTCCTAGCTCCAGATAATTAAGCAAGATCCTGTGTTTTTGTCAGTGGAGTTGACGGCATCCTGTTGTTCAGTGAAGACATTGGCCAGAGGTTTACTCTCCCCGCCCGAGAGATTCAGTTACAGGATCTAAATGCTGGATTTTGATTTTATTTACCTGTGCTAGCTGTGTTACAGATCTTCTTTCTCCAAGGCTTGTACAGGAACCTGGTAGGGGCTCATCTGGCTAGAAAATACCAAATGCAAATAAGGGCTTGTTACCAAGCAGAGTGTGGGTATGTGCAAGAAGGGAAGTAGTTCCATTTTTAGAGATGATGGGAAGAGAATGTGCTCAGCTACCTTCTGCAGTAAGCAGGCATCTTTTTATGGAACCTGAATGCACATCTGCTCAAGTCTTTAAAAATGAAAGACATGAAATAATGGGCCTGCAGTTAAACTGTCATGTCTAAACTAAGAACTCTTAAACTACTTACTGGAAGTAACTAAAAACTGCTGTGTACGACAGCTCACCAGGAGCAGGCTTTTTTTTTCCTTGGGTCACATCACTGAAAAGCTGGTCTAAGTTGTCAATTCTATTTCCTGAGGGAAGTTTTCAGTCTAACTTCTGGAGCAAGAGCATTATTAATACCAACAGCATGACTGTCAGTGTTCAACAGCATTCTGCCATGAAGCACTTTGCCTTTCGTTCTTTGCTTTAGCTTACCAGGAAGTGAGCAAAGCCCAAAGGTAATCTGCTTAAAGAACAAACAATACATCTTGACTGGCAGCTGTTGTAGGCCTCTTATATGCCTTCCTGGAAATGGTGAGAGTCAAATTGGCAATATGCCCCTCCTCCCTTTATCTACCAAATAGGATTCCATTTTCTAGTAGTGGGACCTCCGTAGATTATGTCATGAAAATGACGTAGCTGAAAGCTTTGATGTTCCTCTTGCAGGGCTCAGTCTTGGTCCCGATATTTATTTTTTTCAGCAGTCTTCCCCCGAACCACACCACCATCTGATTGGGAATTGGTAAACAACACTTGGCTGTAGCATTTGCTGCCCTTTCTTTTAATGGTTAGGGAACTTCCTACGTTTGCCTGAGCCCTACAAAAATTGTTCCCTTCATTTCCAGGCTCCCTAGCTAAGGAGAAGTTCAAACCCAGAGCAAAGCTTTTTCCCCACCTAGAAAACCCAATCCGTGTGCTTGTTGATATCCTTCCTATGATCACATGAAATGTGTATATTAATTGTAGTTACTAGTGACCTCTTGGAGGCCAAATCGAAGGTACCGGATTGCTCTGAGATACGTTACAATAAGCTTGAGGAGCCAGAACCACTTTCTCGAGCGTTGTTCTGATAACTTTTTTGAGGTGCACCAAGAAAGCGGAAGATGACAGCCAGCTTCAGCAGCCGACTTCCTGACTCACTCTAGCCTTGTTCACTAAGTTTCCCTGAATTTGGCCTTTCCCCCACCGTATTTCATAGAGATGGTCTCATAGTTGCAAAAGACTTTCTGAAGAAGTAAAATTTGTAATTTATAGATCTAACACTAACAGTTGACTATTTGTCTGGTTTTTTATCTATATGCTCTTGTTTACTTACTGTATGCAGTACTGATGCGCTTTCTTCAGTGTCCATCATTTGATTTTCACCCTCAGCCAGCTGACTGAGACTGTGATGGAGCTGCTGGCTTTGCTCATCAGGTACTTGGACCGGTACGTACTCCCCAAGTTTCTGAACGCAATTGCAGCAGTGTTCCAGCATCTGTTCTTTGGAATCTCCACCAAACTGAACACGAAACATGCGGCATTCATTCTGCTCAAAAACCAAAGAGAAATTAAATGAACTGTGAATCCCCGCAAGCTATTTTGATTTAATTAAATTCCCATTTGTTAAAGTTAGGAAGAAGGCAATGAATTTTTGCATCACTGCACCAACTTAAAAACAAAGAAACAAGTTTTCCCTGCTGTACCGTCATTTTTCCTAGCAGCTAAACCAGAACAGTATCATTCCCAGTTCCAAAATCAGTTAAAAAAAATGGTAAGTGAGCAGCGCTGCTTCTCAACAAATTAAAGGTCTAGCCAAGTGAATAAACCTCACCATGACAACCGAGGTTTTAGAGGTATAGCAGGGAAATTGAGTTCTTACTGTTGCTGCAAGTAGTAACCTAAAAGGTAATGCCAACTGAGCAGTTATTTGTGACAAAAAATGGAACGACACTGAAGTAAGTGGAAGTTAACTCTTCATGACAGCCTGTATGTTTACATGCATGTTATTTTAACATGCTTGTATTGCATAAAATGATTTTTAGGGCACTGTAAGCATAAAAGCTTTTCTCGGTGCCTTTTAAAGGGAAAAATGTCAAAATAATTCAAACTGTAGGACCCATTTTACCAGTGCCCAGTTACATCTCCTCTAATTAACTAAGATATCAACTTAACTGGGTCAGCTCCACATACCCGAGAACTGAGTTGTGGATATGCCAGACAGGTGAGTTCTCATTAAAATGACAGGTAACTTGCATCTTAATTTAAATTCTGTTTGGAGACTTTCAAAGAACACTTGTTTTTGTTACCCCTCTGATCGCCAAATCTATTTTCAGACCGAGCTATTTGTCTTTCCCTCTGCTTTTTCACTAGGACTGTTACATACTTGAGACTGCAGTTTATAAACAACAATAGACTTTGTATTTGTAAATCAAACATTTTTCCTTTATGGCAAGAGAGAGCGCACTCACATTCAGCTAAGGTGATGTCATGTTTTAGCATAAACTGAGTATGGGCAGTAACACCTGAACCATACGAGAGCTGAAGTATTAAAGAACCTTGAGGTCACGCGGATCACTGAATTTTCACCTCTTCCTATGCTAGGGCAGGGGGCCAAGCTCAATGAAAACAGCATGAAGGGAAATGACTTAGTGTAAGAACATTAAGAATGTTTGACTTGCTGCTGTTTACAGACTGTTTCATAGAAAATAAAGTTTTTATACATAGGGGCACATCAAAGACTAAGGCAGAGGTAAGTGACTACTGGAGATGGAGCTGTGTAAGGGCAGCCCCAGCCAGGCAGCTGTGTCTTTCAGCTACGTGTAGGGCAGACGCGTGCACCTGATGGGTACGGCCTCAGAATTAGACACGCGGGTGCTTCACTGAATAAAACTTCCTCTAGTACAGCCGAGTTTCAGTAGTGATCCACAACAGGTACCGTCTCTACGTGCCTCGTTCCTTCAAGTGTATTAACACTAAGCTGCTCAAAACATAATTTAGAAACTCGTTCTGCTAGCTAAGAGTCCACAGTGCCCTACTGAGATCCTCTTTCTGAAGAAATGATGAAGTTTCACTATAAATGCAATATCAATGAATGACTTAAAAACCCAAGGAGTACAAGGTAAATCAGAAATAATAGTGTAATATTTAGTTGCCGATGCTCCTTAGTTGCCCTATGCACTCAGATACAGGAACTGGTTGGGGGGGGGTTGTTTTGTTTTGGTTGGTTGGTTTTTTTTTTTAAAACCTAGTTTCCTTTCCTCTGCTTAAGTGGCTTTTGCTTGACTCTTTCCTTACTTAGGTCTAGCAGGGTTGAGACGTAACCCTTCACACACAGTGTTGCTGGCTTCCTGAATTTTTTTTAAATAATTTTGAAGATTATCACAGAAACTATATACACTGACAGCATTTAAGGAATCACTTCAGCTACAGTTTAGAATATAAAGTAGAGAAACTGTATGATAGGACCACTACAGTGCCACTAAATCCGGTTTAAATCACGTGAATTTAGGGTAAGTAAACATTTAGATGCACCAAATTCATTCAAGACTATGTTAATGTTCCTCCTTTTCTGAACCGTCCCTTAGAGCTTTGTTCAAGCCTCAAAGTGATTGTGATGTTGATTTTGTGTTTCTTGCGAGATGCAGCAGAATCCCTTAACGCTGCGCTGGGGATTTGGGTCTATTAACTGTAAAGAAAACTGATGATCTACTGATTCATCAGAACTAATTACTGCAACAGCTCGATAGTCTTCTTCAGTGCTACTCTACATTTTATGAGAATCTGACAAAAATCAGAGAGCAAAGGTGTTTTGGTTTCAGGCAAGCACAACCCATGAATTTAAAACAGTTTAAGATACTTATTTCTGCAGTTCCTAGTGCCACCATTAGACTAAGCTTATTCTGAAACAAGTCCTTATATTTAAACAATGTTTATTATGCCTCATCTGCTTTTATCATGCAATTAGCAAGGCATTCTCCCCTCTGCAAATCATAGCTTGGTTTGTAACATCCTACAAAAAAATATTTTTGCATCTTTCATAAAAGAAATTGGATAAAAGATCAAAATACAACTGAACAGGAATTTTTACAGTTTTCAGCTATTCTGGATATTGCTATGATCTGCAATTACAATAACCCAGTCTGTACCAGAGCTCCTGTCAGGGGAGAATCACAGAACGGTTTGGGTTGGAAGGGACCTTAAAGACCACCCGGTTCCACCCCCCTGCCACGGGCAGGGACACCTTCCACCAGACCAGGTTGCTCCAAGCCCCGTCCAACCTGGCCTTGAGCACTGCCAGGGAGGGGGCAGCCACAGCTTCTCTGGGCAGCCTGTGCCAGTGCCTCACCGCCCTCACAGGGAAGAATTTCTTCCTTATATCTCACCTAAACCTCCCCTCTTTCAGTTTGAAACTGTCACCCCTCGTCCTATCACTGCCCTCCCTGATCACGAGTCCCTCCCCACCTTTCCTGCAGCCCCCTGTCAGCACTGGAAGCTGCTGTAAGGTCTCCCCAGAGCCTTCCCTTCTCCAGGCTGAACAACCCCAACTCTCTCAGCCTGTCCTCACAGGGGAGGTGCTCCAGCCCCCTGAGCATCCTCGTGGCCAGACCATCTCAGATTACTTGAGATGTTTTTATGCCTTAATAGTTCTGTGAAGGGGGCAAAGAGTTAAAACTGGTCTCTAGTAGCTACTGAACAAGGGGCTCAATTTTTTTCCAGAATTCCTGTTTCTAACGTAAGAGATGAATTCTCTTGTCAAGCAGAGATCATTAAACTAGAGGCAGCTGTTTCAGCTGAAACAACAAAGCCTAGAAACTAACAGGGAAGAAGCAAGAGCTCTTCTCACTTTGAAACAGGCTTTTTTCTGAAAAGCTGGTGAGTGCTCAGTGTAGATGAAGACACTTCTTAGTTCATTTAAGAACCAAGAAAACTGAGATTTGTACATAAGATGGTAACAAACAAGTGCCCTTTAATTATTTAAAGGCTAACCAACCACTTGCCATGAGATCTGGGGGGAAGACCAGAAACCTAGGTCCCTTTCATTGCCTTGAATACCAAATGCCTGAATTGCCAGCTTGCAACTACTACACCAGGTGTCAGGAGCCACACAATGGCTAAAGAATTGTTTGTTTAGATAATTTGTTTGCCAAAGTGAAGTGTGACTCGTGCTTCTGTACATGTAAGGGAATTGTTAGCCATGGCAGATAGATTCTAAAATAAATACTGGTCGAGCTATTTTAGTAGCTAACTCTCAGCAGTCTAAAAGACCTGAATATTAGCAGTTACAAAAGATGTTAATATGATTCAATCCATTCTTATTTAATATCTAGAGTAAAAAACCCCACTTTTAATTTATATAGACAATGTAAAGTATCTCAGAACTTCTGGTTTAATTTATCCAATATTAAGAAATCTTATACAGAAACGTGATAGCTATTAGAAATATTAAAAGAACCTCAACTCACCTTTGACTGTGCACGAAGCAGCAGGCAGTCTGCTCTTCTTACTATCTTCAACCACTTGTGGGAATCAATTAATGAAAAGCCTTCCTAAAGTAAAGCAGAACACAAACTACTTGCACAGCAAACATGCAGCACTCAGAAACTTAAGTTACGTGATGTAATTTAATCCCTAATGAAGATCAGTCATCTGCCTATGTGCCACTTTTGTATCTGTCGAACCATCGCCAATATGTAATTTCTACCACGGTAGGAATTAAATCTGAATCTGTAGCTCCTTTAACGCCACCATGTCAAGGCACATTCTGATTTCCATATATATTTTACACTTAGACTTGTGCATGTTATAGAAGTCTCCGTCAAATGCATAATAAAACAGCTGCAATAGCTTTAAATTCTTCTGCATCCCATGAGTTGCCCGAGAGGGCAGCAGAGGGCAGGCAAACCTGAAGAATGGGACAGCAGTTGGTTTATCTAAGGCCCAGAGAGGCAGTTTCTCCCGATGGAATTCAGGTAAACAAGAATCGGCTTTGGTAACTTTGATAAAGCTGGTTTTATACTCCAGTTGCACTGACTGTCAGTCTCTGCAAACAAGACGGACTGCTCAGCATTCTGTAAAAATACCCCAGGAAGCTGAAAACATCATCTAAAAATGGCAAGGCAATGGACTGTGTCTCCCAAGGTACCCTCCACAGCCTGCCACATAGTCCTTTGTTAGCGGAGTCTGAGGGACGGGACAGGAAATTACCCACCTACTTTATCTGAACTCATAATGCTTTCAATGGCCTTGGCTTTTCACATAAGCTGCTTTTTATCGGTGCTCTAAGGGTCAAGAACGACCAGTCATGTCCATCCTGGGGCACCAGCAGTGTGGTTTTGCCACAGCTACTTTCCATCTTGTGCAGGTCCAGGCTGGGAAACCATCTGCCATTCTATTTTGGTACAAGAAGTCACCTCAGTGAGACACTGCTCTTTTAATGTGCTGGCACTGGCTTTACAGTCTCATGCAGCAATTGCACATAGATTTTTAACTGGCCTTTTATGAGAGGAACGTCTAGAAAGCACTGAAGAGTTGAACCAAAGGTAAACTGGACCACAGACACATAGCTGATCAGACACCTGCTATGACAGACTCCAGAATGGTAAGACAGCATCCAAGTATCATTCCCAAAAGATTTGAAGTCAGAGGGAGGAAAGAATTTCCCTCTGCACTGTAAAGACAGGTCCTGACAGCAGGTCATTTGCAGCATGTCTGTTTGCACTGAGCACACCCAAAATGCCTCGAGGTAAGACTTGCTACGGTGTGAAAAGCCTCGAGGTCCAAAAAGTAGGGAGATGGCACTTGGTGACTGCTGGGAAGTACCAAGCTATCCTCTACTCTTACAGGAATTAGTGAAGGAATCTGCACCTTCAGAGGGACAAACTGCAAATGACAGACCTCGCAACAGAAAAGAGCATCTTATTTGGTAAGTCGGTGTTCTCCAGCCATACTACATGACGCAATTAGACTGCTGAAGCAGTGGAGCAGGAGGCTGTGTCCAGCCTGATGGACATCCTCTCTGATGTCAAATAGTAGGAAGTCTCTGAAGTCGGTCGGTTTGTCACATAGTCTGAATTTACGCCTGACATAGTAAAGGAAGCCTGTGAAATACCCTCACTCCCCTGTACACCCAGCATTTTAGCACTCCTGCCTTTGGGGTGTGCAGTTTTTGCCTCTTTTGATAGACCTGCCCAACGAGAGCTTGGTATACGGACATTAGAGTTGGGGCTGGGTGGGGAGGAGCAGATACTGAGCAGAATGCCTGAGGAATGAGATGAGGTTAGTAGGCTAAGAAAGGAGTGCTGCACTGGTAGAGTAATCAGTAGCACTTCACGTGTCATATTTTCAATTGCACTGTAGAATATATTACTTTGAAATTTGGCTATGGACATTCATCGCTGTGCAGTTTGGCCTCAAAATACTGTTTAATTAAAGCTGAAAATGGAAAAGCATCAGCAGGTTAAGCTAGCGATTGTGCACAGCAAAAAGTTACGTTGAAAGTCAAGAATTTCAGTCACGTGAGTATCATGGAAACAAAAGAATCTGCAACAGCAAAACCTCAGCAGAAATGGTGCATATGCATTGCAAAGAGGTCATAATACATGGCTGTACAAAATATAAAAAGGCAGATTGGTTTTGTCTACATGGGAAGTACTTTAGAGGAGACCTTGAGTGGCATCCATCTACGATGGTTATGCTGTGCTCATGCTGCCGTAGTTGCTAGAAGGGATCTGGTAAGGAAGCAAGCAAGGAAAACAGAACTAAGTTAGAGGAGTGAAGTACAGCCAACAGTGAATTCAAGAAGGGAAACAACTGGTTGCAGAAAACATAGTGCAGGGGACAGGCTTTTGAGTCAGAACCCAGAGAGAAGATGGGGTATGTAGAACTGGAATACATAAAGCAGAAAAACTATTTTAAACTGCCCCTTCCAGAAAGGGTATATTCCTGATGTTTATATAAATAATCTGAAAGTCAATATTCTCCCTGTTTGGAATGCAGCAGACCAAGTGCATTTATATTTATTTTTGTGAAATAAGCACAAACTAGCATAAAGGGAATTTCATCTCAGCACAAGGACTTCTTTCTCTCATTTAAAGCTGTAAATGTTGAACATCTTTTAACTTACTTATGTTGAGGGGAATAGCCATACCTTCTCAAAACACACAGGCCAATTCAGAACTGCTCACGCTGGGTAAGCTGCCAGGCTGACTCCTGGACAACCAAGCAGCCTAGGAAATGGTTTTGTGTTGGAATATGACGGCTGCTCATGCTTCCATGCTTAGGGAAGCACTCCACTGCCACTTGGTCTTCCTCCGATTCCACTACCAAGCCCCAAAATGCTGTTAGTGAAGCAATTCTAATATCTTTCACTAGGCCACTTTAGCTTGTGGCCACTTGTGCTTACTCTGTTCATTTCAAATAGTTACCAGTTTTGATACACACCAACTGTGTTCATTTAAATACAGCAGTTCCCATATTAAGTATTTTATAGTTTTTTCCTTTCACTGTAAGATGTAGGTTGAACAAATGTTGCCTCCTTAAAATAATAACTGTTTTCAAAGAAATCATAAAAGGCAGCCAAAAATTTAACTTTCCTACCAACTATTTTACTGACGTTGCCCAGGTTGACATCCTTTTATATGTCCTGTTTCTGAGGTAAAGCAAGCTGGGAAAAAAACAGCATTTGGAATTTTTATTTAGGTACTCCTAATTATTCAACTCTAACTCCAAAATTTGATTAACTGAGATTTAATTTACTTCAAGTTTAATTAACTGAAGAACAAAGCAGGAAGTATTTCCTTTCCTCTTGCACCTTTGGTTGATTGTGTATTGCCAAGCAGAAACAAATAATTAAGAATAGCTAAACCAAGCAGAAAAACTCAGTGCAGTACTTGAGCAATACGACAGACCTGATTTGGCCCAAGCAAGCTACCTGAAAAAGGAGCGGGAGCATTTTAGATAAACTCAGGTCAGCAGAACTTCTCAGACCAAACTCCATCATTAAATTGTTTACATCAGTAATTGTCACTACAGTCAGGACCCTCAACATTTTTCTAAGTTCTAAGCAGCAAATAAGCCCAATTTCGCACCATGTTAAAGTCTATTCTGTTCCCCAGGGCTTTTCCATGTTACCTCAGTCAGCACAGACTGTATTTGAGGCTGCTGAATTAAGACAAAGTAAGATTCTTCTTAACGATGACAATTCTCTCTTTAGTCAACAATGAAATTGTTATGAATCTGCATATGAAGTTAGGCAAACGAACTCAGAACAAGACGGAAGACCACAATAAATCTGTATTTTGTTCCATCACTTGAAGTCAAAAGGTTCTCTGCCAACATCCAGAAGCAAGGCATGAGGCAGATCTTGGAAACTGATGGCAATTTATTGAGATTATAGTCCATTTGTGCCTTTCTAGAGATAATGAATTGACTCTAAATCTGCTCTGGACATGTGCACTGACAAAGAAAGAAGTAGTAGTCCCTCCAGATTGGTGCTGCCACCACACTGACAGAAATAAAGAGAACAAAGAAAGCACTGTGGTCACTGTTCCCCTTGAGCAGACGACATCCACAGCTGCTTTACATTCAGAGCTGGGCATGAGCAAAGACAGATGGCAGTATAAGACTAAAGAGGAATAGAGACAAAAAGGCACCCTAGAACTGGGCAGGAACACGAGACCTCAAATGTTTACAATTTAAAGAGATGAAGGGCAGCGCTTTTCTAAGCTTGATCACTAATGTTCAATCATGCATGTACTCCTTCTCCAGGATCATACCTGTAGGAACACTGTATTAAAGCAAAACGGTTCCATACATCTCTGACAAAAATCTAAGTCTCTCGCAGGGAGGACCCTGAGAAGAATTAAGCTGAAGCAGAAAACAAAGCAAGACATTTCCCAAATATTTTGGACGCGGGCAAGATGCGACCACACCTTCCATGAGGCACAGAAGCCAGTAATGCGGGTCTAGCCTTACACCCGTCTGGCCTGTCATTAATTGGGAAATATTTTTGCTCTGATTTTACATTTCAGTGTTCAAAAAGCTGCTGGATAACAAGGCCTGTGATCTATGCTGGAAGGTATTGCATGTTATTTATGAATATTTTTATTATTCTATCATCTAGAAACCCTGTGGTGCTAAGCAACATAAGAACACAGGAACAGATTATCCATTTTCTGTTAGATTGCAAGGCCTTTAGGCAACCCTATCTTAACTAAAAATTAATACATATTTAAGAAATGTTATTTGTGTAACAGTTCAGCTATGCTGGCTTGCACCAATTAGTTTGGATTCACTCATTCTTCATGAACCAGATGTTTTCAAATGAAACTGAACTACATGTGAACAATAGCTTAGAAAGAAAAACTTCCTTGTTGCTACAAACATTATACACTCTGCCCTTAAATTACAACCAACACTAAAATAGATAAACAAAACCCCAGAATGCCACACACAAAGACACATACTCTCCGGTTTTGGCTGCCACTTGAAATATTATGAAATGCAAATAAACCAGTTTGTTCTCTCAGTTCATGGTTCAGAATGAATG